GTCCCTATCTTTCAGTGCTGTGCTCCCTCTTAGTGCACGTACACGGACGTTTCCGCTGCGGTCGCTACGGTTGCTCCTTCCCCTAAGACCACAGCGGTGGCCCCAAGGGAGGGCGTGGTGGTGGTGGTGGCGGCGACATTTGTTTTGATGAGGGGGCTGGGGCAGGTGTCCAGGAGCCGCAGAAGCCGCAGCACTCACAGCAGCAGCAGCAGCAGCAGCAGCCGTGGGCCAGCCTCCCGCCGGGTTGGCCGGGAGCCCCTGGAGGTGGTGGCTGAGGTGGCGGTCCTCGCAGCTCGGCGTGTACAGGTGGCTTTGGTGCAGTGGGCTGCCAGTACCAGCTCCAGGCCGGGCCCCTCCGTGGCACTATGTGCCGCCGCCCGCACCCGACCGCCCGCTGCTTCCGCCGCCTCGACGACCTCTTTCGTCGCCGATTTGGCCCAGCTCCAGACCTCTCTGACTGGCCCAGTCTGTTGTGCCACGGTGTGCCTGTTTTTGACTTAGACATGGATCAGATTAGTTCTGCCTTGCATTCTCTGTATGCTAACGCTTCTAGTGTGTCTGGATCTTATTACCCTGTATTAGGCGTAGCACCTGTGTGTAGTACAGACACCCCTGTTGCGTTAGGCGTATGACCGTTTGCTTTGTCTAGTCGAGGCTCTACACTCGCTCCTCCTTCGTCTGCCGCTACTGCTTCCCTGTCCTTCACTCTTGACTCCGGTGCGTCTACCTGCTTCTTCCGCGACCACGCCACACTCACGCCGCTTGCCACGCCTGCCACTGTCGCACTTGCTGACCCCTCTTCTGGGCCTGTCGTTGCTCGCAGCTACACTACCCTTCCCTGTCCAGCGGTCCCCTCGGGCTCCCTTAAAGGCCTGCACATCCCTTTGTTCTCCAGGAACTTAATTGGTGTCGGCTGTCTTCAGGACCTCGATCTCACCACTACGCTTCCTGGTCACGAGCGGTACCCTGTCTGTACCGAGGCCGCCTCAGGCTCCCCCCTTGCGACGTTCCCATAGGACCCAGTGTTTGGTCTGTTTACGCTGGACACTGCCCCCCCCCCCCCGTTGGCACGTCCTCCCTGGGCCCTGCGTCTATCTAGGTCGCCACGGCTTGCTCGTGTCGGTCACTCACTCACCCGTCGCTTCTGTGACACCACCGCCTATGTCATCCCGCACTCCCGCGTCTGCGTCACATGTTTCAGCACGGTCTCGTCCTAGGTCTCCCTCCCTCGCCTGCGCCGCCGTGCACGCCCTGCGTCGAGAGCCGGCTGCACCATGCTCCTCACTCCTCCTCGCTACACCACAGTGTTTCCCTTGGAGCGGAAGGCCGACGTGCCTGACGTTCTTATCCCGTGGGTCGTGGCTGCGCGCCTCCACCGCGGTCTCCCTGTGCTGTGTCTCTACCCCGACCGTGGCGGCGAGTTCGCCACTGGTCGGCTTGGATAGTTCTATCGTGCGGAGGGCATCACCCAGTCATACACCCTACCAGACTCCCCGCAGCAGAATGGGGTCGCTGAGCGACGCATTGGCTTGGTCATGGCTCGTACCTCCATGACTCATGCCGGTGCACCCCATTTTCCATGGCCCTTTGCCGTTCGTTACGCTGCTCACCAGCTTAAACTCTGGCCACGCTCCTAGCGGCCGCAGCTTTCGCCGACCCTTCTTTGGACCGGGTTCCCTGGTGACGCGTCCGCGTTCCACGTCTGGGGCTGCCTCACTCATGTCCGTGCCTCTTGCATAGACAAGCTCATTGCTTGCGCTGTTCCTTGTGTCTTCCTCGGTTTCCCCCTGGACTCGTCTGACTGGCACTTTTACCACCCGTCGTCCCACCGCTTCTTTCACTCCCGTGACGACGAGTCTGTCTCCTTTTACCAGCGCTTTCCCCAACGAGGTCTCCCAATTTCCCCTCCCCTATTTCTGGTTCCCACTCCCCCAGTCGCCCCTGCTCCCCTTCCTCCCCGTCCTGCTCCGTCTCACATCACTCCCTTCCCGTCGGTTGTCCCAGTCGAGGAGTCCTGCGGCATGCTAGTCCTGGGGACACCAGGCGAGAGACAGGCGGCGAGAACTGCGCCGCAAGGCCACCAGAGTCAGCCGGCGTGCTATTCCTAGGGTTCCTGTCATGGCTTGTCCCGACGGGCTCGGGGGTGGCACCGGTGCTGGAGAGGGTTCTTGTTCTGGGGGTGCTGGAATGGAGTGTTCCGGAGGTAGTCGCGGTGCAGCCGGCGGTCCAGGTGTTGGCGTCGAGCAGCAGCAGCAGCAATCGCCGACGGTGTCCGCCCTTCGCCTGCTGTGCCTCCCTTCCCCCGACCGCTCGCCTGCGCCTCCCCTGCCGCCTCCTCCCCTTCCTGTCCACAGCCCGGTGTTTCCTCCGCCGGACTCGTCCCCGGCCCGTTTCCCACCTCGTTCCCCTCCTATCACTCCTCCTCTGTCTCCTGACCCGATGCCTCCGTCTCACGTCTGGTCTCGCCGTCCCTCTCGTGCTCGTCATGTCTCTCCTGTTCAGCGTTCTCATCCTATGTTGCTTTGTTCGCACGCGTCTTGTCCTCCCCTCCTGCCTTCGCCTCCTCCGTCTTAACCCGCCGTCACGCCTCCCCCTCTGTCCGACTACCTTCGTGTTGCTCGTCCACTTGTTTCTCGGGTCCTTGCCTCCCTTGTTACCGACCCGTCTGTTCTTGTCTCGAGTCTTGACGCTCTTGTCACTGCTGTCGCTGACTTCGCCTCTAACCGCCACCTTGACTACGCCACCGTTCTGGTCTCTGATCCTGCCCGTCCTCCGTCCGTCGGGGGTGCTCCTACCCTTGGCAATGACGTCCTAGAGGAGAGGCAGTACGAGCTTGCTTTCCTGTCCGAGGCTGCTCCCCATCTCTGCTCCATGCTGCTAGTCCCTGAGGGTGACCCAGATGCCCTTGATATCCCGACCCCTCGCACTTACGCTGAGGCGACCTCGGGACCCTGGGCCTCTCAGTGGATAGCTGCCATGGAGCAGGAGATGGCATCTTGGAGATCCACCAGCACCTACGTCGACGCAATTTCCCCACCTGGGGTGAACGTAATCGACAACCGATGACTCTTCAAGGTGAAGCGCCCCCCTGGAGAGCCGCCTGTATTCAAGGCGCGCTACGGGGCAAGAGGCTTCAATCAACAAGAGGGGGTGGACTTCTTTCAGACCCTCGCCCCGACCCCAAAGATGACTACTCTTCGGGCGCTGCTACACGTAGCAGCGCAGCGTGACTACAAGCTCCACTCCCTCGACTTCTCCACTGCTTTTCTTCAGGGCAGCCTACACGAGCACGTCTACCTGCGCCGTCCTCAGGGCTTTACTGGTACCTTCCCTCCTCGGACCCAGTGGCTCCTCCGGTGCCCGGTCTACGGCCTGCGGCAGGCGCCCCGTCGGTGGCACGACACTCTGCATGCTATGCTAGCTGACCTGCAGTTCTTTCCGTCCTCTGCAGACCCCTCGCTCTTCGTTCCTGCTGGCCATACTTTGTTCTACATCTTGTATACATAGACGACCTGGTCTTCGCTACTGCAAACAGAGATGCACTGGCCTCCGTGAAGGCCGAGCTGCTGAGGAAACACACCTGCACTGACCTAAGAGAGCTGCGCCGCTACCTTGGCCTGCAGATCTCCAGGGACAGAGCAGCGCGCACCATCACTTTGACTCAGTCACACTTGGTGCGCCAATTCCTTCAAAGGTTCGGTCTTCAGTTCTCCTCCGCACAGTCCACACCTCTGCCAGCAGACCAGAGGCTCTCAGCTCCAGTTTCGGAGGAGTCAGCAGAGCCCAGTGTTCCTTACGCAGAGCTGGTCGGTTGCCTCATGTACCTGATGACTTGCACTCGTCCAGATCTTGCATACCCTCTCTGCATCCTGGATCGCTTTGTAGCCACCGGCAGACACCGACCACAGCACTGGTCGGCTGCCAAGAGGGTTTGCGTTATCTAGCGAGTACATCGGGCATGGGACTAGTGTTGGGAGGACGCAGGCCATTGGTCCTTACAGTACACACAGACGAAGCACATCCAGCTGCGGTACTTCCTCATGCGTCACCTACAGCAGTGCCGCCAGGCCCACGTCGTACACTTGGCCTCCGGTGCCAACACAGCTGATATCTTTACTGATGCGTTTGCGCCTAGAGATCATCAGCGGCATTGCTTGCAGCTTGGTCTAGTTCCTGTAGACTCTTACTTGCTAGGACCTTGATTGTGTACTCCTCTTTATATATATCTATCAGACTGGCCTTGTGGCTCGTCTTCCAATGGCCGGACTAGTAGTTCAGCCTGCCGAGATTCATGGGCATGTTTCAAAACCTCTGTTCAGGCGACATTGTTTCCGACACGCGGGAATCTGTACAGTAAATTTTTGGCGCGAGCAGTTTTTTTTTGCGATTGAGCCGCGGAACGACGCAACACGAAATTCTCGCGTTTCCTGCTAGAAATGGAGATTCTAGTGGCAGGGGGGTGTTCAAAAGTTTTCACGTCCGAGAGTAGGGTGTTGTGTATATCCATAAAAATTAAACACCCATACCCGCTCAAGCTACCCGGGGGAGCTTAATTCCGGCGGGTGTTTTATACGGGGGATTACCTTAGGTCTTTCAACAAGCTCGGATGTACCAACTTCAAACCCGCGGCCCAAATTGCGAGGCGCGGCCTTCAAACGCGCTTTCGTGGGTGTAGAGTGGGGTAACGTGAGTCTGGTCACTCTCGAGGTGCCTTCCAAGTTCACTGCGTGCTGTAATTTGGAACTCCGTGTGTTGCACGTTTTTTACCGTCCATTTTTCCCAGATCTGCATCGGACGGTCCACACGCAAACTCTTCTTTCCAAAGCACCACCAGTAATTTGGGACTCAATCTCAACCGTCCAAAAGCTTGGGGTCAAATCTGACGGTGCACAAACGCTTTTCAGTTCACGAGAAAAAACACCCTCGCAAATTTTCCGTGCATTTCGTAAAACCGCACGCCCGTAGTTCTTACACAGTGCGTTTGAACAATTTGGGCCGTGGCTTTTAACCACATTTTATTACCAAATCTCCCTTATGTCGTACTGAAATTCTTATCACCGTGTGGAGTTTTCCACGTTTCCAATCCCTTTTTGTCACACTGCACACATACGTAAGTACGCCATTCCCTAATTTCACGCCAAGAGGGTGCTCACTTGCGGCAAATCGTCGTTTAAGGATGAGATTTTCTTTACAACCAATACACACATCAATGCCTCTGCTGCTGCCCTTGCTTCTTCTGCTGCGACCTCTGCTCACCGTATCTGGCTGTTCCTCACAAGAAGCACTGCCAGTTCTTCACGAAAACACAATGTGTGGATCCATCAATGCATGCATATATGCACATGGGTTAGAGCCTCTGTTGCTGACGCTGCTCATCGTATCTGTCGTCCTCTCTCAAGAAGCACTGCCAGTTCTTCACAAAGCCGCGGTCATAGGGGTTGTGGAAGTGCTTCGTTTGCTCTCCTGTAGCTGTTGTTGGCAGCATGCACCATGGATTCATGCACAACATGCATGCACTCGAACATCATACATGCATGCACTCGAACATCATACATGCATGCACTCGAACATCATACATGCATGCACTCGAACATCATACATGCATGCACTCGAACATCATACATGCATGCACTCGAACATCATACATGCATGCACTCGAACATCATACATGCATGCACTCGAACATCATACATGCATGCACTCGAACATCATACATGCATGCACTCGAACATCATACATGCATGCACTCGAACATCATACATGCATGCACTCGAACATCATACATGCATGCACATGAACATCATACATGCATGCACTCGAACATCATACATGCATGCACATGAACATCATACATGCATGCACTCGAACATCATACATGCATGCACATGAACATCATACATGCATGCACTCGAACATCATACATGCATGCACACGAACATCATACATGCATGCACTCGAACATCATACATGCATGCACATGAACATGCATGCACTCGAACATCATACATGCATGCACATGAACATCATACATGCATGCACATGAACATCATACATGCATGCACATGAACACCAGATATTAGTGCACACGAACAGCACACATGAAGCCCCGTTCATGCCATACGAAAGCCACCAATCATGACACATACACATGCGATGGAATCATGACACATCAGCCGGCCAGGGAATCAGGATACAGAAACACGAGACAGGATCACGACACCATCATGTTGTGTCCTTCCTGCCATGCCATGCCATGCCATGCCATGCCATGGTAACACTTACACAGAAAGGGTGGTCCGTCATAGTGCATGTAAGGGACCTTTCTCCATCGGGCCTGGAAAAGACATCAAGTACAACGATTGGAGACAGGCATAGGGGCGATTGGAAACAGGGACTCAGGCAGACGAGGAGGGGGGTAAGAAGAGGGGGGGGAAGAAGAGGCGTGGGGAGAAGAGGGGTGGGGAGAAGAGGGGTGGGAAGAAGAGGGGTGGGAAGACGAGGGGGGGGAAGAAGAGGGGTGGGAAGAAGAGGGGGGGGAAGAAGAGGGGTGGGAAGAAGAGGGGGGGGAAGAAGAGGGGTGGGGAGAAGAGGGGTGGGGAGAAGAGGGGTGGGGAGAAGACGGGTGGGGAGAAGACGAGTGGGGAGAAGAGGGGTGGGGAGAAGACGGGTGGGGAGAAGACGGGTGGGGAGAAGACGGGTGGGGAGAAGAGGGGTGGGGAGAAGACGGGTGGGGAGAAGACGGGTGGGGAGAAGACGGGTGGGGAGAAGAGGGGTGGGGAGAAGACGGGTGGGGAGAAGAGGGGTGGGGAGAAGACGGGTGGGGAGAAGACGAGTGGGGAGAAGAGGGGTGGGGAGAAGAGGGGTGGGGAGAAGACGGGTGGGGAGAAGACGGGTGGGGAGAAGACGGGTGGGGAGAAGACGGGTGGGGAGAAGACGGGTGGGGAGAAGACGGGTGGGGAAAAGAGGGGTGGGGAGAAGACGGGTGGGGAGAAGACGGGTGGGGAGAAGACGGGTGGGGAGAAGAGGGGTGGGGAGAAGACGGGTGGGGAGAAGACGGGTGGGGAGAAGACGGGTGGGGAGAAGAGGGGTGGGGAGAAGAGGGGTGGGGAGAAGAGGGGTGGAGAGAAGAGGGGTGGGGAGAAGAGGGGTGGGGAGAAGAGGGGTGGGGAGAAGACGGGTGGGGAGAAGACGGGTGGGGAGAAGACGGGTGAGGAGAAGAGGGGTGGGGAGAAGAGGGGTGGGGAGAAGAGGGGTGGGGAGACGAAATTAGGAAAACTGTGGGCGCGGGTGGTGCTTTGTCGTGCAAGTAGGAACTTCCTCCATCCGGCCTGGGAAGGACGTTGAAGACACCGCTTAGTGACAGGCAGAGGAGGAGGGAAAGGGGGGGACATGACGAAAGGCAGCCCGGGGGAGGAATACGGTAGGGCAAGGGTGGTGCTTCGCAGAACATGTAAGGAACCTTCCTCCATCCAGCCTGGGAACGGGAGACAGGAGGGACATCAGTGACCAAGACTAATCAACAAGTCCATCAGGCACAAGACTGGTTCAAGTAGTAAGAGAAACACGCCTTCATCGGTGTGTTTTTTTTGGAATGCTAAAAAACGCCCTGCAACATCAATGAACGACAGGCACAAGCCTGGCTCGAGTAGTTTGAGAAACAAGTCTGGAACAGACGTGGGGGGGAGCAGGAATAAGAGAGACGGGAATAGAAGAGAGACACAAACACAGGTTGCAAAGGTGGGAAAGGTGTGGGTGTGGGAAGTATGGACGAGCACAGGGAGCACCCCACAGAAGGACAGTAAGGGGCTCCGAAAGGTGAGTTACACAAAAAACGGAATGGAGCATGTTGACATGAATCAAGCAGTAAAACGTGTTGACAAATTTCCACGACAAATATTCACATTAAGGGCATAGGTTTCATGGATTGAAAAAAGGGCAATTATGAGAAGGCAGATGACAGAAAGAGGTAGGTAGGAATCTCACCCACTCATAAGTAGTCACGTTTTGACCTATGCAGAAGAGGTGGAAGAGGAGAAGAGGAGCCTGCACGGGTTATACGAAGGAAACCAGATTAAAAGGGCGAGAGAGGGGGAGACAATAGGGCAGTCAACAGAACGAGAAGGAGGGAGTGCACGATGGCAATCAAGGGGGCCAAGACGGAAGAGGAGACGACCTGCAAGGGCACAAGGGACACCGGAAAAGGGGGAAGAAAGGGGAAGAAAGGGGGGAAAGTAAAAGAGATGTGGAGAGATGGTTAGAGGAATGCACGGGAGGAAGTTCAGGATGGAAATCAATGGAGCAAATACGCAAGAGAGGAGAAGGGGGTCCTCTGAGGACATAAGGGGGCCCTCTGAGGACATAAGGGAAAGGGGAAGAAAGGGGAAGAAAGGGGGGAAAGTAAAAGAGATGTGGAGAGATGGTTAGAGGAATGCAAGGGAGGAAGTGCAGGATGGAAATCAATGGAGCAAAGACGCAAGAGAGGAGAAGGGGGCCCTGTGAGGACTTAAGGGGGCCCTGCGAAGACATAAGGGGCACCGGGGAAGAATAAGAGGGAGACGAAGATGTGGGGAAATTGATGAAAGGGATACAGGGGAGGGAGATGAGGATGCGGTAAAGAGAGCCAAGACACGAGGGAAGGAGCGGAGAGGATGGAGGAGAGGGAAGGGGAGAGGAGGAGAGGGAAGGGGAGAGGAGGAGAGGGAAGGGGAGAGGAGGAGAGGGAAGGGAGAGGAGGAGGGAAATAAAGGCAGGTGTAGAAGGAAAGTAGAGTTACCTGCCAGAGAGGTTGGAGGTAAGCGCAAAGCATAAGAGCAACAACCCATGGCTGGTTCAATAGAGCCTGCATGCACAACCGCAGTCATGGTGTATGGTGGTCTTGAGGAGTCTCAAAACGAAAATACCATCGCATGCATGCGTGCATGCTGTATGGTGGTCTTGAGGGGTCTCAAAACGAAAATACCATCGCATGCATGCGTGCATGCTGTATGGTGGTCTTGAGGAGTCTCAAAACGAAAATACCATCGCACGCATGCATGCATGCATGCTGTATGGTGGTGGAGATGATAGCGTGCATTAGTGTACAAATGCCCAAAGGAAGACCAGCCCTCCATGTCTGGTTAAGCGGAGCCTGTAACGAAGTATGGTGCATGGTGATGTCATGCCATGCATGGCATATGGGATGGCATGCTTAGTGAATGGGATGACATGCTTAGTGTATGGGATCACATGCTTACTGTATGGGATGGCATGCTTAGTGCATGCAATGGCATGCATGGTGCATGCGATGGCATCCTTGGTGCATGCGATGGCATGCTTGGTGCAAGCGATGGCATGCTTGGTGCATGCAATGGCATTCATGGTGCATGCGATGGCATGCTTGGTGCATGCGATGGCATGCTTAGTGCATGCGATGACATGCATGGCTTGGCTGGGAACAAGCATGAGCCACAACCCATGGCTGGTTCAGGGCATCAAGTCAAGATGTAAGGCGGCATGGATGGCCCGTGCATGGCATGTGTATGGCCCATGCATGGCGTGTGCATGGCATGTGCACACATGGGTGTTTCATACTGAGCTTAAAGCCCGCAGTCCGGATTGTCCAAGAAGGGGGGTTTGTCAAACACTTGAAGCGGTGTAGCGAACTTTTTACTAGGGGCGCGGAGGTTGGCGAAATTTTGTTGGGGTTCGCTATCCAACCAAAACTGCTTAACTTTTGGACAATCCGGACCCAGGGCTTTAAACAGATATTAGAGAGGGATTCTGAGGGAAGCAGTATGCACCTGGATGCTGACGTGGATGGACTCTTCAATGCATCTCAGGGCACTCCCTGCCATGGAGGAGAAGGAAAAGGACACACAATTCACACAGAACACAGGCATGGACCGTGCATAGTGGAAAGGTTGTGCACGCAGGCTGGACTGTATGCTCCATGCAGGCAGGCTGGACTGCATGCTCCATGCAGGCAGGCTGAACGGACTGCATGCTGTGTGAGAAATTGACACGCCGTGGTTGTGGCATGCTCCGTGCTGCAGCGTGTACTGGTTTTTGAGAACAGCTGGTATTTCGGAATCCCTAAGGACAGCTACCTCGGCTGGACTGCATGCTCCGTGCAGACGTATGAAACTGTAATATTCACATACGCTGGACAGGAACGGGTAGAAACGGCAAGACGTATCATGAGAAACGTCACAGGACAAGTAGACGTGTTTGGGATCGGTTTCAATGGGTTTGAAGCACCTACCGGACGAGAAGATCAGGGGTTGGGAGGGTGGCAGTTGAAGGAGGTGGTGTGAGGCGAGAACTGGAGGGAAGGAGGGAAGAGGGGCGGAAATGGAAGGGGCGGAATGGAAGGGGCGGAAATGGTAGGGGCGGAATGGAAGGGGCGGAAATGGTAGGGGCGGAATGGAAGAGGCAGAATGGAAGAGGCGGAAATGGAAGAGCAGCGGAGAAGGGAGGGAGGGAGGGAGGTGTCAAAGGGTGTGGACAGACAGACAAGCCCACATGCATGGCAGCAAATGCAAGCATGGCAGCAGATTGTGAAGGTGTACTCGCCAATGATGAACAACCGATGGTAGCATGCCCACATAAATACGGCTATGTGTAGTGAGAAGGAACTCACATGCATGGCAGCACACTCACATGCATGGCAGCACACTCACATGCATGGCAGCACACTCACATGCATGGCACTACAGTCACATGAATGGCAGGCACCACACTTACATGCATGGCCAGCAACACACTCACAAGCATGGCAACATGTTGCAAAAGTGTATTCGCCAATGATGAACGCGAGGAGGACAAGGAGGAACAACCGATGGTTCTTGCGGCCTGGTTGCATTGCAAGACACAAAGAATACCTCTTAGGAGCCTCAAAAGTCATTGCAAGGAGCATGCACAGTCAGTCACGATGGCACCCAGACAGGCAAACGCCACAGCAGAAGCAAGGCATTGTGTCACAATGCAAGAAGGTCAATGCAAGAAGCACACAAGCCTTAAGAAGCACACAAGCCTTGGGAAGCACACAAGCCTTAGGAAGCACACAAGCCTTAGGAAGCACACAAGCCTTAGGAAGCACACAAGTCTTAAGAAGCACACAAGCCTTAAGAAGCACACAAGCCTTAAGTAGCACACAAGCCTTAGGAAGCACGCAAGCCTTAGGAAGCATGTGAATTTACCTTCAGACATCCACATGCAGCACAACCACATGCGTGTGAGTGCTGCTATGCTTGTAAGCACGTAAACAACGAAGCAAGCACAAGAGCTTGCATCATGATCAGTGTGCGCCCTCACCAGCAAGCAACCCATGATATGACACTCACCTAGAACTAAGGCCCTCCTATAACGAGTCGTACCTACCCACACAGGTGCCTAAAGCGGGGCAGTGGTGGTCGTATCTGTCCACGCACCGCTCGCACTTCCAGCAGTGTCGCGACCGCGCCCACCGCCAGACCTGAAAGGAGAAACATCAAAAGTGGGGGGGGGGGGGGGGGAGAGGGGGGGGGTGTATACGAAAACAGAGAGGCGGTGATGGTCTTATCCGTGAACACACTGGTCGCACTTCCAGCAGTGCTGTGACCGCGCCCACCGCCAGTTCTGAATGCACACAAGGGTGGGGGCATCAATCACAGCGGTTCTGGCATCAATCACAACACAATTCTGGTATCAATCACAGCGGTTCTGGCATCAATCACAACACGGTTCTGGTATCAATCACAGCAGTTCTGGTATCAATCACAGCAGTTCTGGTATCAATCACAGCAGTTCTGGTATCAATCACAGCGGTTCTTGTATCAATCACAGCAGTTCTGGTATCAATCACAGCAGTTCTGGTATCAATCACAGCGGTTCTGGTATCAATCACAGCGGTTCTGGTATCAATCACAGCGGTTCTGGTATCAATCACAGCGGTTCTGGCATCAATCACAACACGGTTCTGGTATCAATCACAGCAGTTCTGGTATCAATCACAGCAGTTCTGGTATCAATCACAGCAGTTCTGGTATCAATCACAGCGGTTCTGGTATCAATCACAGCAGTTCTGGTATCAATCACAGCAGTTCTGGTATCAATCACAGCGGTTCTGGTATCAATCACAGCGGTTCTGGTATCAATCACAGCGGTTCTGGTATCAATCACAGCGGTTCTGGCATGAAACACAACTTCCCACCCATTATTACCCACAAAGTATTTGCCTGGCCCTCAAACAAGCCCCCGTACTACTCACATGGCACACGTGGCAGTAGTTGCTTGGTTTCCAGAACCAGGACCACCACCACGGCTGCTGCTGCTGCTGCTGCTGTTGTTGTTGTTGTGTTATCTGCATGTCCTCCCCATCCGTCTCCGGTTGTCCCTCCCTTTGCAGCAACAGCTGCGACTCCACATCAGCACGGGTGCTTGCTTCCCTGCAGGCTGCTTCCCCAGTGGCCGGACCTGGTTACAAATAAGAGGGAGAGAGAAGTGCCTTGGCACCGCTCTTACACCTCATTCATCCGCTGGCGAGGAGCAAAGGAACGAAAGAATGAATGAAAGAAGAAAGAAAGAGAGAAAACACAGAAAACAAATTGCATAAACAAAGAGAATTAATCATGCAAAATGTTGAAGTATAGGCAAGGGAGATGGGCTACTAGGAGTTCCTATGGCAGCGCTTGCCTGATTCCCGCGGCTGGATGGAGCCATTTAATGGCTCCTGGCCAGCTGGCAGTGGCACACAGCCGATGCCATCCTGACCGGAGGGAGTCAGAGACAGTGGGGAATGGGAACGGAGGAGGGGGCGCAAGGATTGGAGGAGGGGGCACAGGGATTAGACGGGGGAGGCGCAAGGATGAGAGAAGGGGGTGCAAAAGACAAGGATATATTTCTGCTCAGCTTTCCATTAAGGAGAGAGGGAGGGCAGAAGAGGAGAGACGGCTGCCATAAAAATTTCCAGGGCTGTGAGGTCGCAATTTAGTGGAGCCATGGGAAGTTGGCCTCGACAGAGCATACATGATAAATTCGTCTGCAATGAGTCTGTTTTTGAGTCTACTCAAAAAAAGGCTCTTTATACACTCTTCAATGGAGCCATGGGAAGTTGGCCGGGAAAAAACGTACATGTTGAATTCGCGTCCCGAATACACAGCATAGCATGCTGCATACCTCATCCAGACGTTCAGCTGCAGCCACATTCGTTCCCACCACAACCACTCCTTGTTGCTCGACCTGCTGCTGCTGCTGCTGCTGCTGCTGCTGCTGCTGCTGCTGCTGCTGCTGCTGCTGCTGCTGCCGTGCTTCCCATTCCCCCACCTGCTTGTACCATTGTTGCCATTGGTCCTCCGACTGCTGTCCCTGCCCCTGTTGTGGCTGCTGCTGGTGCTGCTGGTACTGCTGCTGGAGCTGCTGGTGCTGCTCTTGCTGCTGCGACATTCCTTTATGCTGCATCTCTTGGTCGCCCTGCTGCCGTCCCACCTGCTGGCGTCCTTGCACGCCTCCCTGCATCTCTACCGCTTGCATCCCTATCGCCCGATCCCCCTGCTGCACCTGCTGCTGCTGCTGCTGTGGCGCCCCGTAACCTGGGGGGGGGTCGCCCTTGGGAATGAACCCAGGATCCGTGTGGTAGGTGCTGGGGGAGGGGGGAGAGACGGCGGAAAGAGAAGGAGAAGGGATGTGAGAATTGGAGAAGCGGTGTGAAAAGAGTGCATGTCATTGTGCTGCCTCATCTCACTGCCTGACGGGGGATCGCCCTTGGGAATGAACCCGGGATCCGTGTGGTAGGTGCTGGGGTGGGGGGAGGGACACGAGGGACAGCGCAGGAGGTGGGCCGTGAGAATAGGAGAATGTGAGGACGGCACACGCCATGTTGCAGGGGGGGAGCGGGGGGATTGCAGGGGTTATGCTGGTGTAGAAGCGGGATGACCATTTCAGTCAATGAAATGAAATGAGATGCGGAAACGCGAACGATGAGTGGGGCTCACAGAAAGTATAGTGGGAAGGTGATGGCAGCAGTGGCGTGCACGAGGGCAGAGAGGCGAGGAGAGGTGCCTGAGAGGACAGGAAGGGTGGATAGAAGCATAGGCAAGAGGTGCAACTTGCAAGGAGGACATGAGGACGCTAGGAGGACGCAAGGAGGATGCAAGGAGGATGCAAGGAGGATGCAAGGAGGATGCAAGGAAGGCGCTGATGGAAGAGACGAGGGAGGGGACGCTGAGGCGATATGAGAGAGGGGCTTGGCAATGCTCATTACTAGTTGCTGCAGGGAACACACACACACACACACTCACTCACTCGCTCACTCACTCACTCACGGTGTCTGAGGGGCACCACGAAGGCCCATATGAGAGGGCGTTGATGGCGGCGATGAGAGAAGGGAAGACGAGGCGATATTAGAGGGGGGCTTGGCTTGGGTCATTAGTAGGTGCTACAGGGAACACTCCCTTACGGTGTCTGAGGAGCAAGAGGAAGGTCCCGTAGGAGAGGCCGTTGATGGCGGAGATGAGAGAGGGGAAGAAGAAGCGCGACAAGATGATGGTCTTGGTGAGGGTTCTGCCCAGCAGGGCCCACACGGCGATGGGAGCTACTGCACATGTGTGAATGAGCACAAAGCATGAGGACGTGTGTGAGCATGCGCGCATGAGAGAGGGGACGAAGGAAGAGGAGATGAGATGAAGGCCCTTGTGACGGCCCTTGTGACGGCTCTGCCCAGGGGGCCCAAGCTGACGATGGGAGCGAGTGGCAAGGTGAAGACGAACATGCACATGGACATGATGGGGCATCAGAATGAGCATGAGCATGGGCATGGGCATGGGCATGGGCATGGGCAAGGGCATGGGCATGGGCATGGGCATGGGCATGCGCATGGGCATGGGCATGGGCATGGGCAAGGGCATGGGCATGGGCATGGGCATGGGGTAAAGCCAAGCCTCCCTTCCAGCACGTACAGTCACACGCATTCTATCACGAGCAGAAGCGTGGATTTACAACGAATTTAGTCAACGACCGGAATCACGCATCGCCATCGACCCTCGAACAGCAGCGAAACGCCCGTTACCAGCAAAGCACGGAGATTCATTACCGACGAACAGCTGCGAAGGTACGCGAAACCAGCGAACAGCAGGGAACCCGTTACCAGCAAATAGCAGAGTCTCGTGAATAGTCCCTCGCTTGCACGCCTCTACAATCCCCGTCACCATCAGGAAAAACCACGTCGGCAAGATCCATGGCAGTAGATGCGGCCACGTGGCTCTTAACGAGGCAGGCAATAACGAGGACAACGGCCTCGCCATCCTCGCTGTAGGCTAGATGCTAACCGCGAGTGAACCAGGCGACTTTGAGAGTAAGCGATGACATTCTAACGGCTAGTTTGATCAGAGCGAAGGCTGGCTTCGGCGACAGTGGATTTGGAGTCCTCGTGGCTGGCAATTTGCACCACTGTCCGCGTTGTTGAAGCCCCGGATCCGTTCTCATTGAAATAAAACAAATGATTTATTGGTGTCGAAACCAAACCAGTCTTTCAAATGTGTTTCTTCTGCAAGGTATGTTTGCTGCAGAATCAAGATTCTAGCATAGAAGAAACAAAATCTCACATTTACGTACTGAGATCTCCTGCATTCTGCATGCAAAGTGTTACACCCAACCTCGCATCCTTCGCCAACAGTTTCGAGGAGCCCACATTTCCCACCGAGCAGCCAGATATTTCTCCAGGGCGAGCGAATTCACTGCCACTGACTGACACCACTGCCGCTACCAATGCTGCCTGCTTCTCGGGCGTGAAGGGGGTTCTTGAATTGCAGCCAGATTCCAGTCATGGAATAGCATTCGCTACTTCCGCCCTTCAATTTGGTCCCACCCAGGTTCCTTAGGAGTCGTAGCAACACCGTATTTCCGTGACGCGACCGCGCAGCCCTGTGTTTAACATCGGATTTTCCGTGCCACGGGGCCTCAAAAGTCGCCCTTTTTTTCTGTAGGTTGTCAGAGGATCTACAAGTCGCCATTTTTAGGGGCGAGTCGTGTCAGAGCCCGATTGGCACGTTCTTTGAATCAACTCAAGAAACATCTCCACGGCTTTTAGGCGTCTAGGGCGTGTTCAGTGCCCGGCTGGCGCATCCGAAGTGCATTTCGACGCTGCTGCGCGTACATTCTCTGTAGTTCCCCGCAGTGTTCCGTAGTACTTCCCCTTTCGTTCGTCGTTCGTCCTGGCGCCATGATGCTAACCCTCTCAGCAACGCCAGTGTCGTCGGCCGTTGCGTTATGCACGAGCTCTCTCCCCTCGACGCCACCCCTTACCGCAAGAAGCCGCCTTCTGCGCGGTGCACTGCGCGCGAGCGACCGACTTCGGTGGAACCGGAGCTGCGCGCTCCATCGCGGGAGCGCAACATGCGCGCGTGCTTCCGCCGAGACGGGTGGTGATGGTGCGGAGACTGCTAGCAGCCCGTCGCAGGGGAATGTGACTATTGTGAAAGATAGGGAAGGGGAACCGGGAGCGAGGGGCGCTGGGCCGGAAGCGGAGGGGGGCGAGGCGGAGAACAGGCGGGGAGGGGATGAACGAGCGAGTGGGGAAGCGAGTGAGGGAGCGAGTGAGGGAGCGAGTGAGGGAGGGAGTGAGAGGGAGAGGGGGCTGTACACTGAGTTTGTGGAGTACTGCGTAGAGGCCATGGGCCAACACATGCCGCTCACTCCTGTTCCGATACGGGTAAGTAAGCATGCAGGCTTGAATCGAGTATATGCTGTTCTGAGCAACGTAGGGAGAGAGGATAACTCGGGGTTCGTGATGGCGTGACGAGAGTGGTCTTGGGTCAATGGAAAAGGCTAGGTTTCTCTTCTCTCCTGCCCCCAGCCCGACTGGCATATGCTGGAGGGCGGCAGCCCTGACGGCGAAGGCGGCAGGGTCTTGACGGATGTTCTCCTCTGCCCTCTCAAGTGAAATCTCCTCTTTTTCCATTCCCCTCCACCCCCCCCCCCCCATGTTTCCCACCAGCCCGACTGGCAGGTGCTAGAGGGCAGTGACGGCGAGGGTGGCATGGCACACTGCCGCAGTGTGGCGGTGCATGCACCTAAGATCCGCCTCATGCGGTCTGCCGATATCAGCGCTGGGAGAACGCTGCAGGTGCGCACCCCCCAGTTCAGCCTGCGAGCAGCTGGTGGTGAGAAGCGGCGGCAGTATGGCATGGCATGGCATACTGCCGTAGTGTGGCTGGGTAGGCGCCTAAGATCCGCTTGATGCGGTCTGGGATATCTGTGCTGGTCCCAACAGCGCAGGTGAGAGCTGGTGTATGTTGCAACAGTGCAGGGGAGAGCTGGTGTATGTTACAACAGTGCAGGGGAGAGCTGGTGCATGTTACAACAGTGCAGGGGAGAGCTGGTGCATGTTACAACAGTGCAGCTGAGAGCTGTTGCATGTTCCAACAGTGCAGGGGAGAGCTGGTGTAGGTTCCAATAGTGCAGGGGAGAGCTGGTGTAGGTTCCAACAGTGCAAGGGAGAGCTGGTGTAGGTTCCAATAGTGCAGGGGAGAGCTGGTGTAGGTTCCAACAGTGCAAGGGAGAGCTGGTGTAGGTTCCAACAGTGCAAGGGAGAGCTGGTGTAGGTTCTAACAGTGCAGGGGAGAGCTGCAACTCTACCCTCCCCTGGCCTCCATCACTGCCTCACCTATTTCTGTTTTGAGGTGCCTTCAAATGCAAATCCATCATATCCCTCCCATCCTAAGCCCTTCATATCCCTCCCATCTAAGCCCTTCATATCCCTCCAACCTAACCCCTTCATATCCCTCCCAACCTAAGCCCTTCATATCCCTCCCATCCTAAGCCCTTCATATCCCTCCCAACCTAAGCCCTTCATATCCCCTCCCAACCTAAGCCCTTCATATCCCTCCAACCTAAGCCCTTCATATCCCTCCCATCCTAAGCCCTTCATATCTCTCCCATCCTAAGCCCTTCATATCCCTCCCATCCTAAGCCCTTCATATCCCTCCCATCCTAAGCCCTTCATATCCCTCCCACCCTAAGTCCTTCATATCCCTCCCATCCTAAGCCCTTCATATCCCTCCCATCCTAAGCCCTTCATATCCCTCCCATCCTAAGCCCTTCATATCCCTCCCATCCTAAGCCCTTCATATCCCTCCCAACCCTAAGCCCTTCATATCCCTCCCATCCTAAGCCCTTCATATCCCTCCCATCCTAAGCCCTTCATATCCCTCCATCCTAAGCCCTTCATATCCCTCACATCCTAAGCCCTTCATATCCCTCCCATCCTAAGCCCTTCATATCCCTCCCATCCTAAGCCCTTTCATATCCCTCCCATCCTAAGCCCTTCATATCCCTCCCATCCTAAGCCCTTCATATCCCTCCCATCCTAAGCCCTTCATATCCCTCCCATCCTAAGCCCTTCATATCCCTCCCATCCTAAGCCCTTCATATCCCTCCCAACCTAAGCCCGTCATATCCTCCCATCCTAAGCCCTTCATATCCCTCCCATCCTAAGCCCTTCATATCCCTCCCATCCTAAGCCCTTCATATCCCTCCCATCCTAAGCCCTTCATATCCCTCCCATCCTAAGCCCTTCATATCCCTCCCATCCTAAGCCCTTCATATCCCTCCCAACCTAAGCCCGTCATATCCCTCCCAACCTAAGCCCTTCATATCCCTCCCATCCTAAGCCCTTCATATCCCTCCCATCCTAACCCTTCATATCCCTCCCAACCTAAGCCCTTCATATCCCTCCCATCCTAAGCCCTTCATATCCCTCCCAACCTAAGCCCTTCATATCCCTCCCATCCTAAGCCCTTCATATCCCTCCCAACCTAAGCCCTTCATATTCCTCCCAACCTAAGCCCTTCATATCCCTCCCATCCTAAGCCCTTCATATCCCTCCCATCCTAAGCCCTTCATATCCCTCCCATCCTAAGCCCTTCATATCCCTCCCATCCTAAGCCCTTCATATCCCTCCCAACCTAAGCCCTTCATATCCCTCCCATCCTAAGCCCTTCATATCCCTCCCAACCTAAGCCCTTCATATCCCTCCCAACCTAAGCCCTTCATATCCCTCCATCCTAAGTCCTTCATATCCCTCCCAACCTTAGCCCTTCATATCCCTCCCATCCTAAGCCCTTCATATCCCTCCCATCCTAAGCCCTTCATATCCCTCCCATCCTAAGCCCTTCATATCCCTCCCATCCTAAGCCCTTCATATCCCTCCCATCCTAAGCCCTTCATATCCCTCCCATCCTAAGCCCTTCATATCCCTCCCATCCTAAGCCCTTCATATCCCTCCCATCCTAAGCCCTTCATATCCCTCCCATCCTAAGCCCTTCATATCCCTCCCAACCTAAGCCCTTCATATCCCTCCCATCCTAAGCCCTTCATATCCCTCCCAACCTAAGCCCTTCATATCCCTCCCAACCTAAGCCCTTCATATCCCTCCCATCCTAAGCCCTTCATATCCCTCCCATCCTAAGCCCTTCATATCCCTCCCATCCTAAGCCCTTCATATCCCTCCCAACCTAAGCCCTTCATATCCCTCCCATCCTAAGCCCTTCATATCCCTCCCATCCTAAGCCCTTCATATCCCTCCCATCCTAAGCCCTTCATATCCCTCCCATCCTAAGCCCTTCATATCCCTCCCATCCTAAGCCCTTCATATCCCTCCCATCCTAAGCCCTTCATATCCCTCCCATCCTAAGCCCTTCATATCCCTCCCATCCTAAGCCCTTCATATCCCTCCATCCTAAGCCCTTCATATCCCTCCCAACCTAAGCCCTTCATATCCCTCCCAACCTAAGCCCTTCATATCCCTCCATCCTAGGTCCTTCATTATCCCTCCCAACCTAAGCCCTTCATATCCCTCCCATCCTAAGCCCTTCATATCCCTCCCATCCTAAGCCCTTCATATCCCTCCCATCCTAAGCCCTTCATATCCCTCCCATCCTAAGCCCTTCATATCCCTCCCATCCTAAGCCCTTCATATCCCTCCCATCCTAAGCCCTTCATATCCCTCCCATCCTAAGCCCTTCATATCCCTCCCAACCTAAGCCCTTCATATCCCTCCCCATTCCCTAAGCCCTTCATATCCCTCCCAACCTAAGCCCTTCATATCCCTCCCATCCTAAGCCCTTCATATCCCTCCACCTAAGCCCTTCATATCCTCCCAACCTAAGCCCTTCATATCCCTCCCATCCTAAGCCCTTCATATCCCTCCCATCCTAAGCCCTTCATATCCCTCCCATCCTAAGCCCTTCATATCCCTCCCATCCTAAGCCCTTCATATCCCTCCCACCTAAGCCCTTCATATCCCTCCCATCCTAAGCCCTTCATATCCCTCCCACCTAAGCCCTTCATATCCCTCCCACCTAAGCCCTTCATATCCCTCCCATCCTAAGCCCTTCATATCCCTCCCATCCTAAGCCCTTCATATCCCTCCCATCCTAAGCCCTTCATATCCCTCCCATCCTAAGCCCTTCATATCCCTCCCATCCTAAGCCCTTCATATCCCTCCCATCCTAAGCCCTTCATATCCCTCCCATCCTAAGCCCTTCATATCCCTCCCATCCTAAGCCCTTCATATCCCTCCCATCCTAAGCCCTTCATATCCCTCCCATCCTAAGCCCTTCATATCCCTCCCATCCTAAGCCCTTCATATCCCTCCCATCCTAAGCCCTTCATATCCCTCCCAACCTAAGCCCTTCATATCCTCCCATCCTAAGCCCTTCATATCCCTCCCATCCTAAGCCCTTCATATCCCTCCCATCCTAAGCCCTTCATATCCCTCCCATCCTAAGCCCTTCATATCCCTCCCATCCTAAGCCCTTCATATCCCTCCCATCCTAAGCCCTTCATATCCCTCCCATCCTAAGCCCTTCATATCCCTCCCATCCTAAGCCCTTCATATCCCTCCCATCCTAAGCCCTTCATATCCCTCCCATCCTAAGCCCTTCATATCCCTCCCATCCTAAGCCCTTCATATCCCTCCCATCCTAAGCCCTTCATATCCCTCCCATCCTAAGCCCTTCATATCCCTCCCAACCTAAGCCCTTCATATCCCTCCCATCCTAAGCCCTTCATATCCCTCCCATCCTAAGCCCTTCATATCCCTCCCACCTAAGCCCTTCATATCCCTCCCATCCTAAGCCCTTCATATCCCTCCCAACCTAAGCCCTTCAATATCCCCCCCCTCCCAATAACCTAAGCCCTTCATATCCTCCTCCCAAACCTAAGCCCTTCATATCCCTCCCACCTAAGCCCTTCATATCCCTCCCATCCTAAGCTCTTCATATCCCTCCCATCCTAAGCCCTTCATATCCCTCCCATTCCTAAGCCCTTCATATCCCTCCCAATCCTAAGCCCTTCATATCCCTCCCAACCTAAGCCCTTCATATCCCTCCCATCCTAAGCCCTTCATATCCCTCCCAACCTAAGCCCTTCATATCCCTCCCAACCTAAGCCCTTCATATCCCTCCCATCCTAAGCCCTTCATATCCCTCCCAACCCTAAAGCCTTCATATTCCTCCCATCCTAAGCCTTCATATCCCTCCCATCCCTAAGCCCTTCATATCCCTCCCATCCTAAGCCCTTCATATCCCTCCCATCCTAAGCCCTTTCATATCCCTCCCATCCTAAGCCCTTCATATCCCTCCCATCCTAAGCCCCTTCATATCCCTCCCATCCTAGCCCTTCATATCCCTCCCATCCTAAGCCCTTCATATCCCTCCCATCCTAAGTCCTTCATATCCTCCACCTAAGCCCTTCATATCCCTCCCATCCTAAGCCCTTCATATCCTATCATATCCCTCCCATCCTAAGCCTTCATATCCCTCCCATCCTAAGCCCTTCATATCCCTCCCATCCTAAGCCCTTCATATCCCTCCCATCCTAAGCCCTTCATATCCCTCCCATCCTAAGCCCTTCATATCCCTCCCAACCTAAGCCCTTCATATCCCTCCCATCCTAAGCCCTTCATATCCCTCCCATCCTAAGCCCTTCATATCCCTCCCATCCTAAGCCCTTCATATCCCTCCATCCTAAGCCCTTCATATCCCTCCCATCCTAAGCCCTTCATATCCCTCCCATCCTAAGCCCTTCATATCCCTCCCATCCTAAGCCCTTCATATCCCTCCCAACCTAAGCCCTTCATATCCTCCCAACCTAAGCCCTTCATATCCCTCCCATCCTAAGCCCTTCATATCCCTCCATCCTAAGCCCTTCATATCCCTCCCATCCTAAGCCCTTCATATCCCTCCCATCCTAAGCCCTTCATATCCTAACGCCTTCATATCCTCCCATCCTAAGCCCTTCATATCCCTCCCAACCTAAGCCCTTCATATCCCTCCCAACCTAAGCCCTTCATATCCCTCCCATCCTAGGTCCTTCATATCCCTCCCAACCTAAGCCCTTCATATCCCTCCCATCCTAAGCCCTTCATATCCCTCCCATCCTAAGCCCTTCATATCCCTCCCACCCTAGTCCTTCATATCCCTCCCATCCTAAAGCCCTTCATATCCCTCCCATCCTAAGCCCTTCATATCCCTCCCATCCTAAGCCCTTCATATCCCTCCCATCCTAAGCCCTTCATATCCCTCCCAACCTAAGCCCTTCATATCCTCCCATCCTAAGCCCTTCATATCCCTCCCATCCTAGCCCTTCAATCCCCCATCCTAAGCCCTTCATATCCCTCACATCCTAAGCCCTTCATATCCTCCCATCCTAAGCCCTTCATATCCCTCCCATCCTAAGCCCTTGATATCCCTCCCATCCTAAGCCCTTCATATCCCTCCCATCCTAAGCCCTTCATATCCCTCCCAACCTAAGCCCTTCATATCCCTCCCATCCTAAGCCCTTCATATCCCTCCCATCCTAAGCCCTTCATATCCCTCCCATCCTAAGCCCTTCATATCCCTCCCATCCTAAGCCCTTCATATCCCTCCCATCCTAAGCCCTTCATATCCCTCCCAACCTAAGCCCTTCATATCCCTCCCAACCTAAGCCCTTCATATCCCTCCCATCCTAAGCCCTTCATATCCCTCCCATCCTAAGCCCTTCATATCCCTCCCAACCTAAGCCCTTCATATTCCTCCCAACCTAAGCCTTCATATCCTCTTCCATCCTAAGCCCTTCATATCCCTCCCATCCTAAGCCCTTCATATCCCTCCCATCCTAAGCCCTTCATATCCCTCCCAACCTAAGCCCTTCATATCCCTCCCAACCTAAGCCCTTCATATCCCTCCCATCCTAAGCCCTTCATATCCCTCCCATCCTAAGCCCTTCATATCCCTCCCATCCTAAGCCCTTCATATCCCTCCCATCCTAAGCCCTTCATATCCCTCCCAACCTAAGCCCTGGGCCGTACCCATGACGGCCCCCACCCTCGTTCTGGCTCGTATTGACCGTTCAAGGCGCTCAACCTGATTGCCCTCCCAAGCCCCGAGTACGACCTCCCCGTCAGTCCACTTATCCCCTTCAACACCCGCCCCCTTCAACACCCGCCCCCTTCAACACCCGTCCCCCCACCTTCCATCTCCCTTCGTTGCAGGTGCTCAACCTTATTGCCTTCCCCCGCCCCGAGTACGACCTGCCCTACTTCTGTGCTGACCTTGTCACCTTCCCCAGAGGCCACCTCATCGTGCTGTGAGTTGGGGGCGTGGGGAATGTGGTAACCACTATGGGGAGACCACTGGCAGATGAGATGTAACAAGCAGCAGGAGCTTAGCAGCTGTGCTGACCTGGTCACCTTCACCAGAGCCCACCTGATCGAGCTGTGAGTGATGGGTAGTCAGGAGCTTGGGGGAAGGTACCAGCAAGTCTATCCTCGGTACTCAACGGTACTCGATGGTACTTAACGGTAACGGTACTCAGCCATACTTCTGTGCTAACATGGTGGCGTATTAATGTGTCTTATGTTTACTTTTGTACCAATTTTATATTGACGCAATGTGCTGTGTTTTTTGTCTTGCTCTGCCATGCTGCATCTATCTCTGTCCGTATCGAACCTTCTTGTATTCCCTCCTCCTCCCCCCCCTCCCTTTCCCCCTTCCCCCCTCCCTTTCCCCCTCCCCCCCTCGCAGAGATCTCAATCCCTTGCATCAGAGCGAGGAGCACTTCAACAAGTACATCGCACCCGTCATGCCCATTGCCAACAAATACATCAAGGTACTGTGCGGTGGTGAGTGGTGCTGTGTGGTGCTGTGTGGTGCTGTGAGGTGGTGTGGGCATTTGAACGTGTACATTGCACCTACGATGCTCATTGCCAGCAAGTATACTCAGGTACTGTGCTGTGCTGTGCGGTAGTGTGCATGTGCAGTGCGGTGCTGGTTGCAATGCAAACTGCGTCACTCCAATTACTCTCCCAGGTGCTCTTCTGGGCAGAGCTGCTGCGCCTGAAGCCTCTCGTCTGCCCCCTCCCTTTTTCTCTGCTATTTTTTTTCCGGCTTCCTCCAGCACCTGCCTGGAGGTGGAGAGTGCACAGCGGACTCTCTCCAGTTCTTACCTTTGGAGGGTTTTCTAACCTCCCTCCCCTTCTGTTTCCATTGCGCGCTCGCTCTCCGCCTCCCCCCTGTCACTCCCCGACCACCGTCACCTGCCGTGGGCGGCGAGTTCACAGCGGAATCACTGCAGTTCTTCTCCCCTGCTGGTGCACGCACCCATCTCTTCCCCTCTGACCCCATACCCCCCCCAACCCCCAACCCCCACCCCCCAACCAGCACCTGCCGTGGGGCGGCGAGTTCACAGCAGAGTCCCTGCAGTTCTTCTCCCCGGCTCTCATCTGGGCCAAGCTGCCTCTGGATGCTGACGTCACAGCCCATGTGCTGCCCGCTTTCAAGGAGTACCTGCATGTGAGACGGGTGGGGTGTGCTTAAAAGGAATGCTGATTGTACACAAGGCCACTATATCGAGTGTGATTGTTTTTCCAGTACTTCCCGTGTGCTGCCCGCTTTCAAGGGATACCTGCATGTGAGATTGGTGTGATTACAGACAATGTTATTATAGGGGTTGGATCTATGGGGTTGTGACCTCAGGGGCTGGATGTAGACTTGTACTCTCCGCGACACACCTGGAGTGTGATTCCAGGGAATGTGACTCTATGGCAAGTGACTTAAAGCGCGGATTTCGAAACCCCCCAACTCAAAAACTTAGGTTTTGACTCGGGGGGGCATTTTGGCTGGGGGTCAAAACCTTAGCTTTTGACTTAAGGGGGTTTCGAGATCATCGCTTTAAAGCCCGAGTCTAGAATGGTAGAAAGCCATGATTACTGACCATGAAAACAGTGCCAAACAAACTGGGCGAAAGTAATTTCGGCCGAGTTCCTCTGACGAACAAAGATTCTGTCGAAATCGCAGAACCGTGATCGCATCACGGAAATTCTTCCACAAGAACTGAGGTCAACAGTGCGTGAACAGTGCGGGGGGGCGGGGGGTTGGGGGGGAACAAACAGTGACGCGAGACCCTCAGAAAAATGCGTTCAGAATGGTCGCAGGCAAAACTCAAGTATACTGGGATGAACAGTGACGGGGTGCTTGTCTTATTCAGTGGCAGTCGCAAGCTACCCCTCGTTTTCCGTGAGTTGCGACGTTTTTCCTGTTTGTACCGCGATACCCCGATCTTCATTTGACGAGAAACAAATCAGGCTTCCTGATCTTGATAGCAAACCATTCTGAGCTCGGGCTTTATAAAGGTGGCAGCCCACCAGGGGTCTTCTAAGTTGATCAAAATGCTGCCTTCATCCTGTCCACCCTCTCACCGATGCTCCCCCCTCTCCCCCTTCTTCCCCCCTCCCCCACTCCCCCCCTCTCCCCCTTCTTCCCCCCTCCCCCCTCTCCCCCTCTCCCCCTTCTTCCCCACTCCCCCCTCCCCCCCTCTCCCCCTTCTTCCCCACTCCCCCCTCTCCCCCTTCTTCCCCACTCCCCCCCTCTCCCCCTTCTTCCCCACTCCCCCCTCCCCCCTCTCCCCCTTCTTCCCCACTCCCCCCTCCCCCCCTCTCCCCCTTCTTCCCCACTCCCCCCTCCCCCCCTCTTCCCCTTCTTCCCCACTCCCCCCCTCCCCCTCTCCCTTCTTCCCCACTCCCCCCTCCCCCCCTCTCCCCTTCTCCCCCACTCCCCCCCTCTCCCCCTCTCCCCCTTCTCCCCCCGCCCCTGCATGCAATGCACGGCTACTATTGGTGGAAGCATGGAAGGCGAGCCCACTGCTGACCCTGCACTCTTGTTCCGCCCCTTCTCCCCCACCCCTCCCTCCTCTCTCTCAAGCGGTCCGTTTATTGCTCGAACCCTGGGTACAAACTAGGCAGGCGGATGACAACGAGGCAAGGAATGTGCAGGTTAAGGGGCCCTAGCCTACTCGAGCTCCCCTAGGGGCTCTGCCACGGCAAAGCAGTCCCCCAAAGCCATGTCGGCGTCGGGGGTATCCACAGGGGTGTGGGGGGCAGGGGAGGCTTCGTTAACTTTCGCCGCTTGGTAGGAACTGGGGTCCGCATTGAAGAGCCTCCTGGCCCCTGTGTCCGCAAGCAATTTCAGGAAGGTAGGGACTTCGGCGCAGGGGCAGCCATACGTCTCGACCGCCAGTGGGAAGAAACCAATGTAGGGGGCCCGGTTGCGGTAGTGGTAGATCTTCTCGTCAGCTTGCTCACGGGCCATGTACCCCCGCCTCTTCCGTGCATCCGGGTCCCGGCTGCTAATGGGGTCTGTGACGGTGACGTCGCAGATCCAGACGGCGCCGGAGCTGCGGTCGCGGATTGCGAGGTCGGCCTTGTGGCTGTCTACAGGATTGTCTCTTTAGTGACAATGAAGTCAGCATCCCGGGCCATCCGGATGCTCTCATTCCGCAGGGCATCGTGGGTGTCTGTCCGCCTGTGCCTGGTGCCACACCGAAAGAGGTGATTGGGCAGCCGTGTGTCTAGGATTTCGAATTCCTCGGCGCAGTTGCAGATGCGGGGGGCTGGGAACGGAAGGCCAAGGCGAAAGGCCAGGGCGATGGCAAAGTGTGGGGCTTCGAGACGGAGGGAGGGGAAGATGGGAATGGCATGGATCCAATCCTCTGCCCCATACCCAGCCAGAGAGAAGAGGCGTTGCGTGTGGCCAGAGTATGGGTTTGGATCCATTGCCCGCGATGCTGCCACTTGGTTGGCGTATCGCACGGCCTGAACCTTGAGGGACAGGCGGTGTTGGAGAGGGGAGCCCGAGGGTTCACCTCGCTCGGATTGTAGAAGCTCCAGGGCCCGCGGGGGCAGCGCAGATTCACATCTCGCCAGCCAGGTATGCTGGTGGGTGGGGCTGGCAAAGGGCGGTGTGAGGTGGCGCACCGCATCAGCCAGAGGCCCTCTGGTCATTGCTGGGAGGGCAGCAAGGAGGCCCTGAGCTTGGGTGACGCTGGTGAGAAAAGCCGGATGCCCTTCAACTACTGGATCGGTGAGGCCCAGCCCCTCGAGAGAGGGAGGGAGAGATGCCTGGGCCCAGGTACGCGCCAGCTCCGACTCGCCCCGTGGTGGCTGGAGGTTGCAGGCGCGTAGTAGGGTGTGAAACATTTCCCTGTGTGAGAGTACGACCCCGTTACACTAATTTCCCCTTTTCATATTTCCTTTCTATTTCATTCCTCTTTTTATCCTCATTCATTTGGTCTTTATCTCATCTCATTTGGTTTCCTATTCCTCATTTTCCATTATCCTTTGGTTTATCCTGTTATTATAATTATATCACCGCCCAGGCTCGGGATGTACTGGCGCGCTATATCTAGCGTAATCCTGCAGTAATCCCTTATAGCCAATAGCCTCGCGTGGCTATACGCATGGTGATTCTATTTCTAGAAGGGTCTATTTCCTTTGGATAGGATAAACGTGGTTACCTTATGTACTCTGGAAGTATAAAAGCACCTTGTACTGATTGATAGTGAAACATTGAGCAAACCTTTCCTCGGGACATTCGATCCTGTGACACTTGGTAATCAGAGCCAAGGTTTCAGCTCAACGCTTAACCGCTGGGCCCCCAGGAGCACGCCGAGGATGGAGTCGAAACTTCAATTCCAGTAAGTACAATGCACTTTCATTTAAGTTTCGACTCACCTCTTGCAGTTGCACCTGGGGTCCCCTTCGAAGGCGAGATGCCTCGCCAACCGTTCGATGTACTGCATCGACGGAGCCGATTTTTCGCGGGGGCAAACGGCCTCGACCTGGCGAGCTCGTCAGTTCCGGCGGAACACTCCCTGCGACATTCGGAGAAGTTCGCAGTTCGCGACAACACTTGGAGTTGCGCGGAACTCTGCGGAGGTTCGACCGACGACATCCGTCCGATGGAGATTCGACGCTTCAGATCGACCGAGGCGAGAACGAAATCCATCTGAGCGAGTTTGCGTTTCGGCGCGAATGGGAACGGGACCTCGCAAGCCGCGAAGTTTTCCGGAGCGTCCGATCGTTCGACAGCCGACATCGACGATTGAGAATTGCTGCAGGAAACGAGTCAACCCGGGCGCCGAAAGCTGCTGAACGTCACTCAGGAGTATACTCAGATCGCTTGGAGTTTGGACCGTCGGATCGACTTCTACTTCAACGGACGAGATGGAGCGCGACTTCTGCACGAAGGGAGAATGACGCGCAGAACCAGAAATTGGCCGCCTTCAACATTTGGACAACCAAATTCGGACTCCTCTATTTGGTGACGAATATGGTGCGCAAAATCATCTGCAGGGTCAGAAAACTGCCAGAGTATTACCTACTTGGTAATATCTGCATGCAGAAAAATGACAGGAGAACGTGGATCGTCAGATCGGTGCGGAATCAACGGCACGAATGCAGCAGAGACTACACTATGGGAAATCATCATCATGGAGACAACATTCGTGACCAGCGACAGCACAATCGACGCATCTTCTGACTGATGTCGATAACGATCGAGTTATTTTGACGAAGTCATCTTCGTTAAAAATGGATCGACATCAACACAGCGAGATCTTCACCCAGGAAAAACAATGGAGCTGCGTGAAGACATGTTCTCCATCCACGAGACACTTCTTCATACAAATTGATCGACAACCTATGGGATTGCAGAGAAGTAGCCGTTTTCTCTCGCAATGCTCCCAAGTTCAAGTTGCTGCGAAGGAGCAGATTTCGCACGCAACGACGACGCAGTGAACCCGTCTCGTCAAGGCCAGCGAGACACTACTTCGTAACAGGAGCTGAACGATTCGTCTTCATCAAGAATCTCAGCCATCCGAGGTGATTGATTGGAGCAGTCTCAACATCGACCTCACGAGGCGACACACCAATCATGCGTCGCGATTCCAGGTGTTAATGACCTGCGTGGAAGAAAATTCCGTGCACGTCACGATGCTTGACAGATTGAGGAGTAATTAACCTCTAATCCGGCAAGTACTCGCTCACTAGCGACCCTACGGCACATGCATTGGAGGCGATTCTACCAGAAGCCGAAGCGTTACAAGCATCAGCGTAACTTCGACGATGCAGGAGAACGTCAAGCAACACGAGGTGTCAACAAATGAGGGAGATGCAGACTACTACAACATGATCACGCGCTCTACCGACCGTACATCGGAGGCACGGATGAGCATACCAGGAATTGCTACCCGTGGATACATTGAGGGGAGAAGCAAATTTCTCTTCATACCCTCAAATGAAACAATCACCGGCAGCAATGGAGCAACACATGTGTACTACTGTGCACGTGTTCCTGGTAGTTACGCCTGTTACACCCATCAGGAACACTCTACTGGGAAGAGGGAGTTGATGGATTCTCCTTCAACCGGTACGAGTTGAGAGAATTCTCTGCAGCAGCTGCCGCCGTCGCCGTCGTCGCAACCGCCGCCGCCGCCGCAGCAGAAGACTCGACAGAACATTCATATCCAAACCCTGATGGATGATTCTCCTCTCAATGGAGATAATGCTGGATTATATTCCAGTGGATCGTAAAGACCCGGCCAGGCACAATACTATTGTTTCCAGCTAGTGGGAAGGAGATACCACTACGCACTGGAATAGCTATGGCAATGCCATATACCCTCAAGAGCAGGAGATATTTGCTCTTATGGGGATGGGAGGACCGCGGTACTCTACCGTTATACAAGTCCTCATGGCCTATGGCTTTCCTTAAAGTCATAAAACCT